TGGCGATGTTTTTCGAGCTGCCCCAGCGGACCTGCGCCGCTGGGGGAAGCGGCGTTTCACTCAGTGGGCCCGAGTGCGACGAGATCCTCTCTTGGGTTCTCGTGCCTGGCAATTTCACGCTTTTGACGGATGGCGCGGGCGCGTACCAGTCCGTAGCACCGAAAAGCCGTGCTGCTTACAGCGACAAGAGCAAAGACCCTCCTCGTTTCAATGCTGACCGCTTCAAGCTGCATTATAAGCATCTGAAGCTATCGCACGGCATAGTTTCTCACGATGCAGAACAGTGGGCCGTCGTCGACCGCGTGCGCGTCGTGCGCCCGAACGGGCGCACCGAGACTCTTCATTTGAAAAAAGGCACGCAGTGTTGCGATGGCCTCTGGCCTGAGATGCGCGACAGCATCCCAGACAGCGTCCACACTTCAGACTGGGAGCGTTGCCGCTCGTACTTGTGGGCTTGGGTGTGGCGCATGCGGAGGTCAGGCAACGACCTGCTCCAGGAGTTTGGCCAGTCTGTTCGCAGGGAGAGAGGCTGCATGCATTAAGTCGCCAAATCAGAGCGCGCAGCCCGCCCATGTGCAGAAGGCGCAGGCTGCGACCTCTCGCGTGCAGTTTTGTCGGCGCCTTGCTTCTCCGCAGCCCGCCCATGTGCAGAAGGCGCAGGCTGCGACTGTTCACGAGCAGATTTTGTCGGCGCCTTGCTTCTTCTAGAAAAAACACCAAAACCGCCCAGGCCTACATCGGGTCTGCTTTCGGAGGAGGAGGAGGATGAGAGGGAGGAGGAGGAGGAGGAGGAGGAGGAGGAGGAGGAGGAGGAGGAGGAAGGGGCGGCCGGCAACACTGACGTCGACAAGACGTGCAAGCTCCACGAGCCCCCTATGAGCCCTATGGACCCTATGAGCCCTATGCGGCCTATGACCCCTACGAGCCCTATGAACCCTACGGGCCTTATGAGCTCTATGCGCCCTATGAGCCCTACGAGCGCTACGAGCCCTGTAGGCCCCATGAGCCCCATGAGCCCTATGAGCTCTATGAGCCCTTATGAGCCCTATGAACCCCAAGAGCCCTGTGAGCCCTATGAGCCCCCCGAGCCTTTTGAACATTAGAAGCCCTATGAGCTTTATGATCCCTCTGAGCCCTATCACCCCTATGAGCCCTATGAGCTACATGGCCCCATGAGCCCTACGAGCCCTATGAGCCCTACGAGCCCTATGCGCTCTATGAGCCCTATGAGCCCAACGAGCCCTTCGAGCCCTATGGGCCCTATGAGCCCGTTGAGCCCTATAAGCCCGATGGGCCTTACTAGCCCTATGAGCCCTTGGAGCCCTATGAGCCCTATGAGCCCCATGAGGCTTACGAGCCCTGTGAGCCCTATGAGCCCAATGGACCCTACGAGCCATATGAGCCCTATGAGCCCTATGAGTCCTACGAGCCCTATGAGCCCCATGAGCCCTACAAGCACTATGAGCCCCATGAGCCTGATGACCCCTATGAGCCCTATGAGCCCTATGAGCCCTATGACCCGGACAAGCCCTACGAGCCCTATGAGCCCTATGAGCCGTACGAACCCTATGAGCCCCATGAGCCTTGTGAGCCTCATGAGCCCTATGAGCCCCAATGAGCCCTACGAGCCTGACGAGTGCGATGAGCCCCATGAGCCTCAGGAGCCCTATGAGCCTTACCAGCCCCATCACGCACGTCCTCCTCGACGTCATCGTCACCACCATCATCATCAGATGCATCGCTGTCATCACACTCATCGACGACAAAACGGGCATCATCGTCATCATGATCTTATGTCTCAGCATTTGCCTCATCGCCATCGCCGTCACCACCATCGTCACTGTCGTCTCTCTCAGCCAAACTGTGGTTCAAACGGACTTCCACGCGCGCCGACGTGAGCTCCGCTACCGGACTGGAACACGCCGGCCAAAACGCAGAAGAAGAAGGTGCAGGGCAACGTGCGCGTGGACCCGATCGGCCTGAAGCAAGCAGCGACCTCCACCCCCTCAGCCAGCCAAGGACGCTCCGAGGGCAAACGCGCATCCCTATATAGCCTCTTGGCCAGCGTCGAGCCCATCGATGTACCGAACCGCGTCAACGCCGGAGCACGTGTAGTCATAGCAGACTCTGCTAGTGCAAACGCGGGGGCTCCAGCATACAACCACGGCCTCTCCACGCTCGCGCAGAGGTCCACAGGCACCATGAAACAAGCTGGTGCCCCAGGCAACGTGGTGGAAGTGACGACCGGGCTCAAGCCGCCGGGATCACCTAGCAACCCGTACCACGGCATCTCCTGGGCTTACACACGGACGGTTTACGGCACCGGTGCGCAGAGTGCCGTGGCGGCACAGAAGCACGTCGCAGACCACGCGATGCAGATCTTGGGCCAGGCGTTCCTCAAAGCACGGATCAACGTCCCCGCCATGGACCAGAAGTCCGCTTGGAAGGCGGAGGCAGAGATTTTGAACAACAGGGTCCGCGTGACCAGGTCAGGAACAACGCTCCAGAACGCGCCCTTCACGATCACGGAGCTCGTGAACGCGCAGCTGAAAGTGGCCGTGAACTTGCACAAAGCTGCGGCCCAGGCCCTCGCCACATACGCGCAGCAATACCCTTCCATCATTGCCATGACAACCGTCGGCCCCGGCCAGGCAATCGGAGTCCAGACCCGCGCCGCTTTCGACCAGAAGCCCCTGAAGCCCGCGGCCAAGACGAACGCCGTCAAGAAGCGCCCGGCGAAGAAGTGAGACGCCGGCGACGACGAGACCCCCGTCGACAGCTGTATTAGCCGTTGGCCACTTCAAGCGCGCACCTCCTACGAGTGGCTCTCTCGCCACCGCCCGCGCGTGATCGCTCCCTGCGCGTCGGTGCCAAAAATGCCCCCCGTCTCTTCCGGCGTCGCTGGCGTCTTTGCTCCCGCGCGTCAAGTGGGCGCGGCAGAATGAGACCGCGCGAGCCCCGTGAGCGCACGGGGCCGTGCGCCCACGTCGACGTCCTCAGTCCTGTGGGCCCCATGGCCTCTATGAGCCCGAACGGCCACTATGAGCCCTATGAGCAATACGAGCCTTCTGAGCCCTAGGAGCCCTATGAGCCCAATGAGCCCTGCGAGCCCTATGAGACCAATGAGCCCCATGAGTCCTACGGACCCTATGAGCCCTACAAGCCCTGTGAGCCCGATGAGACCTATTACGTGGCAGCCCTATGAGCCCTAGGAGCCTGATGAGCCCTAGGAGCCGTATGAGCCCTATGCGCTCTATGAGCCCTATGAGCCCTATGAGACCTATACGCCTCACGACCCCTATGAGCCCTGTGAGTTCTGCCAGCCCCATGAGCCCCATGAGCCCTACGATCCCTACGAGCCCTTTGAGCCCTACAAGCCCTAAGGGCCCACTGAACCCTATGAGCCCTACCCAATGCGCCCTATTACGTGCCAGCCCTATGAGCCCGATGAGCCCGATGAGCCCCATGAGCCCTATGAGCCCGATGAGCCCTATGAGCCCTATTACGCACTAGCCCTATGAGACCTGGGGGCACTGTGAGCCCTATGGGGCCGATGCGCCTGATGAGCCCTATGAGCCCTCGGAGCCTTGAGAGCCTCATGAGCCCTATGAGCACCATGAGCCCCATGGGCCCTACGAGCCATATGAGCCCTATGAGCCCTAAGAGCCCCATGCACCCTATGAGCCCTATGAGCGTTATGAGCCGTACGAGCCCTATGAGCCCAATGAGCCCTGTGGCCCCGCTGACCCCCAAGAGCCCTCTTGACACATGCGAGACCTATGAGCCCCATGAGCCCTATGAGGTATGAGCCCTATGGGCCCTACGAACCATATGCGCCCCATACGCCCTGGGGGACCCAAGATCCCTCTGAGACCGATGAGCCCTATGAACCCTATGCGCCCAGTGAGCCTTACCAGCCCCATGTACCCTATGAGGCCTATGAGCCCCATGAGCCCTACGAGCCCTATGAGCCTCATGAGCTCTATAAGCCCTATGACCCCTGCGGGCCCTGTGCACCCCATGGGCCCCATGCCGCTCAGGGCGTTCACGCGGGTGAAGCGCGCTGAGAGCCCCTTCGGACTCATGCACCCCACGGCCCACGCTAGCCCACAGAGCATGACGAGCCCTATGAGCCCCATGGGCCCCGTCGACCCTATGAGCCCTACGACCCGGACGACCCGTCCTCAACCTGATCACCCTTCCGGGCCCAGTGGGCAAAATGACCGCCATGGGCCACATGATCCGAGGAAGCCCCATGAGCCGACGCGGTCCACTTGGCCAAAGACCATTGGCTTCGGCGATGCCGTGGGCGCTCCGCGCCTCCGCGCCCAATAAGCTCATCAGCCCGAGAGCCCGTTCTGAATTCAAGCTCGGCTGCGGACACTGGAAACCCCATGGCCCCCAGGTGCCGCGATGCCCGACGTTTCCCATCTCCACATTCCGCCCCCGAACTTCTAAGATTCAGTCACGGCAAAGAGCCTTTCAGCACTCTGACCCAAAGAACCCAATGAGTCGTATCAGCCCTATGGGCCCCGTGAGCCTCATTGCCAAATCAGACCGCGGTGCGTGCGACCACGGGTCGAGGCGAACCTCGCTGACGCCATGCGACCAAGATTTTAAAGGCGAAGCGAAGCGAGCTGGTAAAATCTGGTGTATATATATATATACATATACAGATGTATATGTGAACAAACACCAACATATACAGGGATAGAGGGAGAGAAGGACGGGGTGAGGAGGGGTGCAGATGCAAAGGGAATTCGGATTATGCAGAGGCTTCACAGAGAGGGACATCACGAGAAAGGGAGATAGCGAGAGAACATCAAACACAGACAGCGATACATCTGTATACTTATATATGTAGAAAGATATAGATATAGAGAGGCAGCCACAGAGAAAGAAAGAGAGAGAGAGAGAAGGAGAGAGAAGAAACTAAAAAGAAAGAGAGAGAAAGAGAGAGAAGGAGAGAGAGAGAGAGAGCGCGAGATCCGGGCCTGGAGGAGACGAAGGACACCCTGGCAGAGGACAAGGCCGCCCCTGCCGACCCGCCCCCGCTGACAGCACCTGCAGCGACACCACATTGCCGCGCGACCCAGCACCTAGCGAGGATGTGGAGGATCAGGGGCGCCGACAGTCGGAGGGGGGCCAGTCTTGATCGTCGGAGGCCTGTTTCGGAAGGTTTCCGCCGGTAATCATTGGAGGCGTGGGACGGTTCCCATCAGCTGCTCTTCGTCACGGTCGTGCTGGGGATGCCCGTATCGTCCAGAATGGCCGCTGGGGGGCCCGAGCCATCACCCGAAGACAGTCAGCGGCAACGTTAGGGCGGGAGAGGCTCGGGGGGGGGACGCATCGGCCCCCAGTCGCGCAATGATCGCGAATGGGGACCCGATAGCCTACCCCGCCTAGGAACCGATGGCATTCGCTGTCGGGGGCCCATCGCCGATCTATCGGCGAGGAATCGCCGACTCCAGCTCGACATTTCCCTCTGAGTCAGTCTCCCCCCTGTCCTCCCTCAGCCTCGACGGCGAGGAGGAGGAGGAGCAGCAGGGACGCCAGTGGTCGGAGGAGGGCCGGTCGAGGCAACGGCGGCCCTCCTCGGCGCCCTTTGTACTTTCTGGGGCTCCTTTGGGCTTCTCGTCGCCACGCCCGGACCTGCCTCGCAGGACGGGTCAATGTGCACCTCCGGCGGGGCTCGGGGATGTCTGTTCTGACCGTATTGTGGCCTGCGGGACAGCTGCCACCGTTTCAATGTTGCCGCCATGTCGCGTACCGATCGGCGATGCATTCAAGCAGTGGCGAAGCGTTTTGGCCTGCCCATCGGCCATAGGCCAACCAAGACATGTTCTGGGGACCTGTTGTGGAACTGGTCTTGGTTTAAGTAACAGTTTGCATGTTCTGAGAACTTGCTTCAGTTATTGTATCATTGTCTCTGTCACGGATCAAGGAGCACGTGTCTTTGTTCAATGTAGATTCCAAGTAAGTCCTTTTCCCCTGAGCCAGTCCCCCCCCCACAGACTGTCAGGTAAAGTTGGTGCAATTTGCCTAGACTGGAAGCGTGATTGAATCAACGCGTGACCGGGGTCTGAACCTCAAGAAGGTGCACGGGTGCGAGCGCGCGTAATTTTGGTACGACTTGCGTGGCCTGGAAGTGTGACTGCATTGACGCATGACCGGGGTCGAGAAGGTGCACGGGCGCGAGCGCGCCCAACGAGTGGGGTGGCCGCAGCAGCGACGACGACGCCAGCGACGGCGAGGTCCAGTGATCAGAACGCGCGTCGACCAAAACGTCGGACAAAGGCAGAGTGGTCAGACAGGATCCGTGCCAAACGCGCTAGTTTCGCTCCGCTCAGATCCGTCCAAAACCTATCGAATTTGCATCGGATCCGTCCAACAAGCATCGCATCCGTAGCGGACCCGTAGTCGGACCCGACATTTTAGGCGAGGTTGACACTTCCGAACGGGGACCTTCGTCAACGTCTGCGGGGACCTTCAAATCTGACCAACTAACTTCTCTGTCTGTATCGCTCCCCTTCAGAGGAGGTCCGAGGACGTGATTCGAGAATGTTGCGCGGGAGGGCGACGCGAGGAATCCTTTCAAAAGAGGCTCGAGTTCATGGGATCGTGGGATCGTGCCGCACAACCGATGCCGATGCATCGGCTATGCGGCGTGTTCCAGAATCAGACGTTCTCCGTTCCGACGTCGCTGGTGCATCGGCGGTGCATTGGCGATGCGGTGCGATCCCCCGACTCTATCTACTCTGGCCCCGTGCTGTCGCTATTGCATCGGCGGTTCATTGGCGATGCGGTACGATCCCCCGACCCCATCCTCTCTGGCCCCGTGCTTGGGGGCCTCGCGAGAGGGGAGTGAGAATAACCCAAGTAAGAACAATCAGATGTAGATAACGTGGGTGCAAATCTTCAAAGAGGGTGCGAATCCTCAAACAGCTTATATGACCCGTCCGAACCTCTGGAAGCCTCCAGAGGCCCCTGGGAGCAAGAAATCCGCACGGACATTGAGGCATTGTTTCGTCTAAGAGGGGCAGGGGCGGGCTTCGCCATGAGAGAGAGGGGTCTCGAGGAGAACGGGCTTTGAGGCCTTTATCACCGCTTTCTCTGCCCAGCTGGCCTAGAGAGGCCCCACTGACGATCAGGCAACTGTTTGGGACGAAAATCCGGCCCCAGAAGAAGGCCCTTGGGAACCAGAACACGCTTCCCTCAGGACCCGTTTCTCTCTTGCCAAAGGGCTGGAAGAACAGGTGGAGAGTGGGATGACGAAGAAGAAAGGAGTTGGAGGAGAAGGGCGACGGCGACGACGAAGGGGGATGAGGTGGAGGAGAACGACGACGACGAGACGACGACGACAACAAGGGGGCCAAGCAGGAGGGTGTGGAGGAGGAGGAGGAGGAGGAGGAGGAGGAGGAGGAGGAGGAGGAGGAGGAGCAACGACGAGGGGGATAATGAGGGCAGAGGACGACGTCGGCGACGGCAGTGAGGGGGAGGAGCAGGAGGAGGGAGCGAGGCCACGGACGATGACTCGGGGGTCAGGGGGTGGAGGACTGTGAGGATAAGACCGAACATCGAGCTCAGTCTTGTTCGTGAACGAAAGACATGTCCGTATCAGCAGAATCGCGGGCTGGTCCCCTGGGCCGCGACGCCACGGAGAAGGAGCGTTTTCTCGCGGATGCCCCGCGCGGAACGTACTCGTGCGACCGCGTGTCCGCGGGATCGCGGCCTGGAGTCCAGACCGCGAGGGCGCGGATGCGGATATGTTTGCCGCTCGTGACTCGTGCTCTTGCGTCTGCTCCGGGCCTCGTCGAGGTGTACCTGGCGGAGCTCAAGAAGGGCTGCGCGACCAAGGAGGCAGAGTGGGAGGCGCGCTGCAAGTTGCGCCAGGAGGAGCTCGAGCCTTGTCCTTCCCTCCGAGCAGCCAGAGGTCATGATCATGGTGGTTTCCAGTACTGTCGGGATTTCCTCAGGCTCCACACTGGCTGCAGAAACGACGTCCGCAACGTAGCCTGAGCCAATCTGCCATGCCATGTGGCTGTCGTCCCATTCTCGCTGTCCTGTCAAGGGCTCCACGGCTGGGGCTGCCTGCCCCCCGACTCGCGCTGGAGCTCCCCCGACTGGCTCCAGATGTGTCGTCTGGATTTGCGTCGATTCACATGGACTTGCATCACCGAGTGTGTCCCAGCCACGCGCAGAGGGGGGCAGGTGGAGGGGGGAGGGTTTCTTAGAAACACCCCTGCTTCTTAGAGATGGCGAGCCCCATCTATAGATGTAAGGCCGCCGCCTTCTAAGAAGCAGCCTCCTTCTTGGAAGCCGTCCCCCCTCCCTCCACACCCCCCTTGCGGGCGCCGCCAAATTTCCGTCAGGGTGCATCGAGCCTCGGCCTTCTCCGCCTCGCGCGCAACGCCCCGCGCGGTGCGCGGCAGCTTTGGTCGCGGGTGTCACGAAGTTGCCGCGTTCGAGGTGCGTTTTTTTTGTCCCCCCCCCAGCTGCACCGCACGCGGATTTTCAGGGTCGGTCGAGGGAAGGAACGCGATGACCATGACCAAGATGTCGTTGGACCTTGTCGACGCTGGTCTTGGTCATGGTCCATGCCGACCGTCGCCGATTCGCGAGGATTGTGTATCCCCGAATTGACGGTGATTTGGACGCACGGTGACCAAGCTCGACACCGACGTTTCCGCGTTCAGTCTGGGTCATGGTCCTCGTGTTCTGTCCCTCCAGCAGGGTTTCTTGAAGGGCTTCTCTCCGACAGGTCCGCACTGAGTATCCTTCATTCGTCGCCGCATGGTTTTGCAATTCCAGCCGTGCGAAGGCATTCGCAGCTCTGCCTGGCATCTTTGCGTTCGCTGGCTTCTCTGGGCACTTGACCCGCGCCCCCCCCCCCCTACCGTCCCCCTCCGCTTCTTGTGTTCTCGCCCAAAGGGCCCGCCCTTCCATTTCCTGCCCTGCATCTTTGAGTCAGCTTTTTTTTTCTGGGCACTTGACCCGAGCCCCCCCCCGCCCTCCACCTCCCATTCCTCTGTTCTCGCCCAAGGGGCCCGCCCTTCCTGTTCCTCCGTTGTCGCCGGGTGGGGGTGATTGCGGCTGTGCCTAGACAACGCTTGGGCCAGGGGCAAACCCTGGCGAGCCTCTTCAGAAAGATAGCGGGCTCTTCCACTGCTGGGAAGTTTGTGGGCCTCGAGGTCCCAGTTGGGCAATCCTGGGAGTCTCCGGGAACTGGGAGCTGTGTTGACAAGCTCGTCTCTCCGCCTCCACGTGCGGTCTTCGTCATTGGCCAGGCGTTCCTCCGTTGCCCTCTGAGGAGCAGGGTTGCTGCTGAGCAGCGCTGTGCTCGCGAAAAGGATAATGATGCGGCGGCGGCGTGTCCACCGCCGGGTCGAGATCGAGCAGCCTGCAGCCGCTCTTCTGCTCGAGGCAGTGTGGGGGGACGCGGCCTCCACTCTCGTGGCCAGGCAGTCATGCCCGACTTCAACAAGCCCGTCACGCTCCAGCTTGGGCCGGAGCCTGCGGCTGAGAGCGCGCAGAAGTCGACCGTGGAGATGGAGCAGTTCTTGAAGCAGTATTTCGGGGCCCCGCCGACAGCTCCGCACGGCACGAAGTTCAAGCCCGACCCGAAGGCATTCTACGAGCACACGCTGCTGGTGAAGTTCCCGGACCCGAAGTCGAAGAAGAAGATTAGGACCAAGACCAAGATGAGGGGGGACTAGTGGCGCCGACTTCGCGCGCGCCCGCTCGTCTCGATGGCGGGAGGCGCGTCTGCGGGAATCCTCCGTGGGGACTCGCCTGGCCCCCAGAGGCTGCAGGAGTCCACACCTCCCCAATGAAGCCAGACGAGATGCCAGAGTTGGCGGCGAAAGCCAAGCCCTGCACCCTCGCTTGTCAAGGATTCAGGCAGCTCGGTGGGCGGCGGGGGTAGGGTTCGGAATTCGTCGAACACGTGGCGCAATATGAACCCTACCCCCGCCTGATATCGACTCAGGAGAGTGATGGTTGGTGGGGGTAGGGTTCGGGATGTCGCCACCAATCGAGGAGGAACAGGTACCGATTACTGCTGCTCGTCCGGCGCGGCGCTGGGGGGAGGTTCCCGAGGCGGCCTGGAAGAGGTGGCAGGAGGAGGAAGGGGCGTAGGTGGACGAGGCAGGCGGCGAGGAGGAGGAGGAGGAAGATGAATACGAGGATGAAGCGGAGGAGGAGGAGGAGGCGGCGGCGGCAACAGCAAAACAGGGGGGAGGAGCGGGAGGGAGAGCTCGCCATCCCGGGTGTGGCATTGATTCGGGTGAAAAGATGGGTATGGGTTTCGAGAGTCTTCGTTGCAACGGCTGGATTCTTCCCACAATCCTAGTCAGAACGCAGCCCGGGAGAGGCCCGGAGAGTAGCGGTACCAGAGTCGGATGGTCGCGTTTCGTCGCTGAGGCATCGGCGATGCGGCGCGATCTTGAGCCCGTTCTTCTCCATCCCGCCGTCGCCGATGCATCGACTGCGATGCGATCCTCCGCTTCCATCTACTCCAGCCCCATGTGGGAGGCCACTACAGAGGTGACCCTGGTCCAAGGTTTGCCATGAAGCAGACGGGTCATGAGGCTTTTCCTCGTTATTGGCCTCCCGAGGCGCTCCACGGGCCCCAGGACTTAGAAACCCAGCCCAGGCCACAATATATGCACTCGGGGAAGATCCCCTGGTCCGTCCAGTTTCCAACTTTTTGTCTGGTGCCAAAAGATCCACCAGCCCACAACATAGTTTCACCCATGATATCGACATCACTGTATCTCGGTCCGTACCGATACCGATGAAGGTCCCCTCGGTTTCTGAGGGCACATCCTTCATATTATCATCACCTTGGGCCTGTCGATCTCAGGCACAGGAATGAGCTCAAGACTGGTTAGTTGAGCCCCCCCACAGCCATTCAGGGGATGTCCCAGCAGGTCTCCTGAGCGGGTACCCCCTTTGCGAGGCCCAAAATGATTGGGACACAACAACCACTGCGACCTCTTCAACAAAAACTCAACCAAAGCCTTGGACCCAATTCTTCTGCTGCGCTTATCAAACCGGATCGACCCGTGAGGGCCGGGGGGCTCGAAACAGGGCAATTTCGCCCGTTGCGAAGAAGTGGCAACGCCAGGATCTCGGGCCTCGACGGCCTCTCAGCGAGTTTGCCCCGGCTCAGGAGCTGACAACTAGCACCCGTACGTATACGACCCCCAGAATGCTTGGGAGGGAACTCCGGGGGGGGCGATAGGGGTGTGTATTGTCGGATGGTGGTCTCCGCTCGCATGGGAGCCCCCCTCGTGGTCCGACAACCCTAATGCGCTTTCAAATTGCGAGGTGCGGGTTACCACCCCTTTTGGATTCGGGGGAAGGAGAAGCGACACCGACACCACCTCCAGGGTGGCCACCTTCAGCGATGAGGTCCACGATACCTCCCCGAGCTGGGGATAATCAGGGGATGCCTCGAGCGAGAGGGGGGACCACACCACCAGGGGGACCCCCCCTGGCTCCTCCCGCTGGTGGTCCCTGGTGTTGGTGGTGCCGCTGTTCCTCGACGAGGGCGTGCCGTCCGCTGGTCCTCTGCCACCCCTCCGCGCGCGGGGCCGCGAGGCCGGGGGCACCCGCGCCGGCGGACCCGATAAGAGCTCAGCCCAGGCGCGCGCGACGCTGTGCACACCTCCCCGAGGCGGGGGGGGCGCGCGCGCGCGCGCCTGCGACGAGCGGCGCGGGCGTGCGCTGCGACGCGAGGCCAGGAAAAAAAGTCGCCCGTCGAAGAAGCATGAGTCAGGCACATGATGTTGGTACAGGAAAGATGCCGGGGGGAAACGAGATTGGGACGGACCACTTGTGGGGGCAGTATCGAACAAGTTGTAGATGTGTAGATCCCACTCCCAATGTGCTGATCCTCAATTTGCGTCGGTGCCGCACGTTCCTGCCTCAAGAAAGTTGTCGGGACCAGAGGCCAGGAACAACAATCGCTCGTCGGCGGGGAGCATGTCCTCGCAGGCGACGTTCTGCCCCCCGATGCCAGACCTCGGACGGTCTGGCATTTTTCTATCTTCAATCGCTTCGCTTTTCTGCCATGTGGAATTGTGCTTCATCATCTGGCACGCAAGCGTTGTTACCCGGGCCCCCCCGCAACGGCTAACGGTAACGACCGTAAGTAGGGGGGACCCCCTAGGGGGGAGGAGGACCCCCCCACATGTTGGTGCTCGCGCGCATACTAATGTGGGGATCGCAGCGCACCCGCTGCCCGACGTGCCCCACCACGCCCAAGCGTTATTGTTACCCAGGGCCCCACCACCACCCACTTAACGACCGCTACAGGAAATGATAAAATGAACAGTTGTTTCTGGTTTCCAGGTCACGTCATCGGGCCTCGGTACAATCAAGAATGGATCCAGGATTACATGTTTTGTTGGGGGAAGGGTTCAGAGCTCTGGGGCCCCGCATTGAATGATTCCGATGGTCGGACCCCACATGAGAATCAGTATTTAGTTTGAGTCTGAACATATCGGTGCGTGTGTCTGAATGGAAGTGGATCTGAGTAGGAGTGAGGCTGCGCATGAGGACATCTGAGTGGGAATAACTACGTGTGAGTCTTCAGAGTATGAGTGAGTCTGAGTACGATTGAGTCTGTGCAAAAGGCAATCTGATTGTGAGTGCGTGCGAGCGGGTGAGTCTTAGTGCGAGTGCGTCTAGGCATGAGCGCGTCGGAGTGTGAGTAAGTCTGAGCGTGAGTGAACCAGGGTGTGCGTGAGTCTGAGTTCGTGCGAGGCTGAATATGGGCAGGTCCGAGTGGGAACAACTCTGCTGGCCTCTGCTGCTGGTCTCTGCTGCTCTCTGTTGGTCTGTTTGTCTCTGCAGGAACCCAGAGATGACGACAATTATAGGATTTGGATACCCCGCTCAGATTCGACTGAGCCGCAGGCCCCATAGAGAGGGGGGTCACGTTCGAGACTTCATCGCGTCTCCCTCACATGCGAAGCTCCCGCTCGAGACACTTTAAACGGAGAAGGTTAAAGGCGAGGTATAAATCGAGCATGTACCGCTGCCATTTTGGCTCAAGCCGGGCCCGGCCAAATATATGACTGTGCCTCACTGAGGCGCACGACTTGCATCAGAGATCGGAAAATACCTTTTCCATTGACGATGCCCATCCTATCCTTTACTCCAGATCCCATGCTTCGTCTTGCACTCTTGCTCATGCGATATGAGCCAAAGCCTGGGATATGGCAACGCTTAAAGCGTAACACATACCTAAGCTTACCAGCTTGTTTTCGACTTGGTAGCGGAGCTGGCTACACTCTCGTGTGGCTGGCTCTCGCTCTGATTCCTGTAATCCACGGCACAACTTGGTGGACTACTACTACGGTGGAATACCATGTTGCGCCGGCTCTGCGAGGAGCGGAGCCAGTCCGCGATCGAGCTAGCGGGGCAACCCGCGAACTCGAGACGCTCTCTCCTACTTCACTGCGCTACTTCACTCCCGACTTCCACCAGATGCCAATCGGCAACTCGATCGAGAACGTGGTCACCCTGCGGGGCTACCCGCAGCGGGGCCACCTGCATCCCGTGCCAGTCAGGCGCCTCACGGCTACTACGCCAGAGCCTGACAAACCACAGCCTAAACCAATCACCGAAGCCGAAATGCACATGCATTGGATCAAGATAACTATATTCGGCATTCTGTGGGTAATAATGGGATGTGCTGTGGGATACATGCGGCAGGGGATGGACGACACGCGTACTACTGGCCCTTCATGGGACCCTGCCGGTACTACGCCTTTTCGCGAATACGTTCGCGAAGTACATGCATGGTTAAACGTAACGAGTGGCAATATGACACCACCACAACAAGCTGCAGCACTACAACGAGGCCTTCAAGGTCTGGCTCGTCGTATCGCCATGCAGGTCCCCTCCCAGATCATCAATTATGGTGTAACTGTCAATGGACAGCCAACGGATGCAGTAACATATATACTGTACTTACTGAGCACCAAATTTGAAAATCTGGAAGATGAGCGCCAGCTCAACTCTGGCACTGCCCTTATCGACTTCCGCGTCGAAAGGGGCGAGCGAATCGACTCAGTATTAGCTCGATTCGAGATGGCCCGTGACGAGGCTAACTCTGTTGGCTTTGTCATCCCCAACTTTCAGATCCTAACGCTGATTCTCTTCAGAGCGTTAGGCGTTGGCGCGTCACGAGCCCAACACCTGCTTGAGCCCTTCAATCATCAGATGCCCCGAACACAAGCAGACTATGACAGGCTGCTGACCAGGATGAGGAACTACGGACATGTTGCCGAGCGCTCTCCTGGCAACATAGCGGGTATCTTCACAGGGCACCACTCACATGCAGGTGTCTACGCCACGACTGCGGGGTCACCCGCTGGTCCTGGCGAGCCAAATCCCTGGGCTGACCCAGCCGATATGCCCAACGAGGCCACTGCCCTTTTAGGGCAGACTGGCCAGGCATCGGCAGAGGCAGCTGAGGCGAACGCCTGGTCGAACTACTCGCCAGGCGCCGCCTACACTGCAAGCCCGCCCTCGGGCACAACCCTCTGGGGCCAAGCGGAGTCATCCGCTCAAGGGTCTCAGCCACCCTCACCGTTTGAATCTGGCACTGACACAGATACCTCATCTGACGATGAGCACAATGGAATAGTCTCTGCTGGTAATGACTACCCAGCGGATGACACTCACCTCTCTGAACAACAAA